ATAGTTCCAAACAAAGATCACAGCACTGTTTTGCGTCTCTGAGCAAAGGACGGAGTTTACTTATTGAATGAATCAGTCGTTTGAATGGATCGGTTGAATCTCAATGACTCACTCATTAACAGTCACTTGCTGTCACCTACTGGCGGTTTTAATTTCACATTTCGACTGATTTTTTATGTTTTAAAATCATTTCAAATAACAGTATTCAACGTTTTATGTTAAAAACAAAACATTATTTATGCATCTGTAACTGCAGTTTAAATGCATCCATGTCCCCTCTGAGATAAATTAAACTGTGTAAATACATCTAAATGCTATTTCAGATACACATTCCAGAAATGTTGTCTTATGTTGGAATGAAAGACACTAAGTACCGGATGAAGTGCTTCTTATTCTTACACTGTTAGACTTTGCTGTAATTTTACAGTTACTTACCGCAAAAAAGCCCAGTAAACTACCATATATATGTTTTACGGTTAACTACTGTAATATGCACTGAATTATGGGTATTTTAATGCCATTTACAGTAATTTACTGTATATGGGAATTTGCAGTACTTTACTGTTTGCTCAAAAGCAGTAGTGCTACTGTAAATTGTTCTGCAGATGAAAAACATGAATCTGCATTCTCAATATAATGTCTGGGTAAGCACAAGTGTGGTGAAATAAATGCATTTTTAAAATGATTAAAAAATAAAATATAAAGTGTGGTGTGCATTTTTAAAATGATTAAAAAATAAAATATATAAACTTTGCTTACACCCCACAAAATTTAAAATTTATTCACGCGCAAAGCCCACGCAACAACCTGGCAGAGGTTATATAAACTGAGGTTTGTTTTCGGTGCCCGCGCATAACGGAGAATATTCACCTTCTGAGTGAATCGCCAGACGTCAGCTGCCAGTTTTCCTGTGGTAAGTACTATTCACTTACTTTTAAAACGTAAACCATTATCAATATCAATGAAATTTACAAATATGAAGAAAGTAAATATAAAATCTAATTATAGGCTATTACTAGGATAGTCTGAGGGAAAAGTTTGTTTTCCTCAAAAACTGCCGCTTTCATGAAACTCATTCAATTGTCCTGCAACGGACTGATATAGTGACTATACAGTATAGTGACTATACTGACCTTTCCAGTATAGATGTGTAGTATTCACACAAACAATTATTTTTCGACTTTTTTACTGCTAGTTATGGTATATTTTACTCCTCAGTTAAATGAATAATGTTAAATGTGTGTGACGTCATTTGAAATAGCACGAGTGCTCTCTCTCGCACGCGCGATGGGTATATGTCGTGCGCTCTCTCTCTCGTAAATAAAACTCCTCAGTTAAATGAATAACGTTAAATGTGTGTGACGTCATTTGAAATAGCACGAGTGCTCTCTCTCGCTCTCTCGCACGCGCGATGGGTATATGTCGTGCGCTCTCTCTCTCGTAAATAAAACATTTACACCAGTGCATATACCAAAAAAAAAAATATATATATATTCAAGTAAAATTATAATCAATTAATTCAAGAAAGAAAATGCATTCTTTATTATGGCTTCTTGTTTGTTAATAGAAGCAAGGTCTCATCAAAGTCAGTATTCTCTTAAGTTTCATATTAATTATTTTTTAGATTTTAAAAATGCATTCTTTATTATGGCTTCTGGTATGTTAATAGAAGCAAGGTCTCATCAAAGTCAGTGTTCTCTTAAGTTTCATATTAATTTTTTTTTTTTTTACATTTTATTGTATATATTCTCTTCTCTCTTTTTTCAGTGTTGATTGTAAATTGATTGTGTACGTGATCAATCTAGCAGTCATTCTAGATCTACGATTTATCATGTTCATAACATATAGTGATTAGTCAATAATCACTGACGAAAAATAATGATTCTTCTTTTTCTCTCTTTTGCTTGTTTCAACAGGAGCTAACTACACCCCAAAGGCTATTTTAGGAGCCACAGCACTGAGCATCTTTGGCTTTGTAAGTATGTTTTAACTATCAGACACAGTATGTGACATTAGATTAACTGCAGCTATGACAGAAATGTTTTAATATAATAATAATAATTAAAGAGATGTTATATATATATATATATATATATATATATATACAGTATATATGATCAAGGACTCTCTAACCATTAGGCCACGACTTCCCCAAGTCTTAGCAGAGGATGGTTATATAGCAGTATACATTAGATTAACTGCAGCTATGACAGAAATGTCTTAATATAATAATAAAGATATGTTTTGATATATATATATATATGATCAAGCATCCAACACCATAGATATGCAATATCTCTCTGATGTTTCCTCTTTTCCTCCCTTTTTCTTGTGTCAGCAGGAGCCAACTACACCCCAGAGACTCTTTTAAGGGCCACCTAGAATCACGGCACCTTTGGCTTTGTAAGTTTTTTTTTTTTTTAATATATATAT